TTCTCCCATCTGTATTTTTTTCTCTAATGAGAATCCATTCTCCATTCGTATGATAATGGAATCATACAGAATTTATTCTGAATTATGAATTTGTTATGAAACAGAATTTTTCTTTCTTTCTTTCTTTTTTTTTTTTTTTTCCTTTTTAAGAATCACATCTCCTCTCACCTTGAACCATGCAGTTTGATTGGGTCTCAACCTCAACCCCTATTTCAATTCCCAGAGTGGATGTGTCTGATCTACATGAGTAATGAATCACCTTCTATATCCCCGATCCAAGCTTGGTCACTCACATTCAATCCCTGGAAAACAGGGAAAGAAGCAGACTGGCTTGATGAGGCTTCTAAGCTGTTAAAATGTAAGCCTAAAGCTGCTAGTGTCCATCACTGCCACACAATGGGGAAAGCCAATCTGAGAAGGAAGCCAATGCAGGGAAAAACAAAACTAATAGAGACAGAAAGCTAGTTATTATTAATAATATTATTACTGTTAGTCAGTGGGCAGTAAGGACAATTCTTAGGCACCTGACATGTCACCAATTCACAGGAAGCATATCATTTAATGAAGTAGGTATTAATGATTTTACAGAGGCAAAATCTGAGGCACACAGAAGGTATTTGGCCTCCTCATGATCTTAGTAAATGGCAAAGCTAGAACTTTGACCGTAGTGTCTCTGAGCCTCTTGACCTCCAAGCTGTTCTGCCTCCCAATGTAATTGATTTCTGACACAGGAAAGAACAAGGCCACTATTGCTGTCAATTAAATTAAAAAGGACACCTATTCTATTAATGGTAATATTATGCTAAACTTTGTCTCATATGATGGCCTATGTATGCAAATCAGTTTTGGAAGCAATCTGAACTCCTTGGAGGAAAGTTCATATTTATAGTTGTTATGGTAGCATTAACAGCAACCACTGTGATAGCATAAGAATAAGCCGTTACATCCCATAATTATTTTACAATTGCCATTGATTACTTCCAGGGGTGGCATGACCACTGCCACTGAAAATAAAAATAACTGTCAAGTGTGCTAGGTAATAAGGAAAATATATGAATTCATCTTCATTTTTTTCTCTATGGAAAATGCTATGTTATTCTCCAGGGTCACTCAACAATTCAATTTAGCACTAGAGAAATCCCCTCAGTCCCCCTCTACCCCGCTGTAGCCAAGCTCCAAGCAGAAATGCTTAAAGGCTGTTTATTTTAATTAAGCTTGCTGAGTAATCCTAGATAACCCCATAGTTCCTATGTAATTTGAAGTAACTGGTTTCCAAGAGTGAGTCTAATAAATATTACTTTGATTGACAACTATTCTGCCAGCCTCAGGAAGTTGTTCAGAATCAGAAAATACAGACCACATGAGCAGAGACCAGGAGATTTTCCCCAACAGCCATGGCATTATGCAATTTACAAGTTCTCATGCCTTCTTTAGAAAAACCAACCAAGCTCAAGGAACCCATGTGGCCATCTGACAAACCCAGTTGGAGAGATACACATGCAGACACTGTGGCCAAAAGAGTTTTGTGTTTACACCACTCATCTGTTTGAGTAGGCTAGATTTCCAAGGCTCACAGACCTAGCCCAGAAAAGAAAGCCAAGAAGGAGAGACAGCAGCATCCGCCAATTTAGTAGAGCATGGACTTTGGTGACAGACAGCCTGCATCTGAGTCCTGACTCTGGCACTTCCCAGCTGTGTGACCTTGGACAAATTACTTAACCTCTCTGTGCCATATGTTCCCTGCTGATGATGAAAATGAAAAGCTTACTTCAGAAGGTTGTCATGAGGATTAAATAGCTTAATTTTAAATAATGCTTATCATACTTTTAGGTCTTGAATAGAGAAGGTGTGTTTCTCTGTTCCCAAAGGCAAAAACAGAGGTTTTATTTATTTTACTTAACAGACATATTAATTAGAATTCATATGCAATTATGTGTAATGGTTTTACAAAGATGATCATTTTGTGACATTTGATTACAGGGTTTCACTAATCAAGCTTTCACATAGAAGATTCCCCCCTTCAAGGAATAGATAAGAAAGGACTGCAATTAGCATGGGCAAAAAGCAGTGATGAGCTCTGTTCACCTTATAATAAGGCCAAGTGTAAATACGACCTCCACTGAGCTAGAAGACATTGTGTATTATGTACCCCTTACAAGCGGAAACATTCTCATATCGATTATTATTTCTTGTGCACACTTTTAGTCAGTGCTTTTCTTTGCTTCTATTGGTAGAAACAAACTTCTGTCCAGTGCTCTGAATTGCTACTTTCTACTCTCAAGTTTTGAGTACCATGCCCGTAGATATTTGTAGTCACTCGAAATCAGGACTTTTTCACTGGCAAAGCAGAACTCTATTTCCAGGATAAACTAGGAGGACCACATTCATTTACTTCAGTCCTTTATTTTAGGAGGCCTTTCTATGCACATACAGCACTGAGAAAAGAATACTAATAATTAATAAAAAGACACAGACACTTTCAAAAACTGACTTTGTAATTTATAATTTTTTATTATGTCATATTGAATATTTATTGTTTTCTGCAGACTTACCCTGGAATAATGCTCAAGTCAGAAGGGGATGAGTTAATGTTCAAGTTTCTGAGATCTTAGGTCAAAAAGCTACAGAAAAGAAATCACTTTGAGCAAAAAAAAAAAAAAAAAAAAAATCAATGACTTACAGGCAGTCACCGCTTGTCACCATTCCAAGAATTGAGGCTTCATGCCTCAGGACATGGTGATAAGAGTTGAGTGAGCCAGAGACTGAGGCAGTGAAGGTTTTTACTGGGGTGAAGAAATGGCCCTTGGGTGTGTTGGAGCAGGGGAAGAGGGTGACAAAATAGGGAAAATGGTATAAGTCATTTGGAACACAAAGACAAAACAGAAATAGAAGTGTCTCATGAATAAGGGACAAAATGAGTAAGGGAGGGAGAGAAAAGTGCTGACCAGAGATAGGCAACTCAGGAAGAGCCAGAGCTGAGCTTCTGGAGATGGGAGATGTCAATGTGGACTCGAAAGTGAGGCTCAAGTCATCCCAAAGCGAGGGGAGCTAAGGGAGAGGGGTGAGCCCGCTTCTGTGCAACAAATGCCTTCTTTCCTTATAAATGTCTCCATATGATAGGGAAAAAATGGTATCATGCCATATAAAAGTCTCTATATGTTATCTTTGAGTCAGGTTGTTTGCAAATGACTTCTCTTTAACTTTTTTTTTTTTTCAGGCAGTTTCACTAGCTTTTTAAGAGATTTCTCTAATGCGGTTCTCTGGCTTTCAAGTCCCACAGGGGGTTTAGGGCAGTGTTTGAAAATGAGGAAGATAAAAATGCATTCCTCTTAGAAGTTCATATAAAAGTGAGAGAATTGGAGTGGAGGTGGGAAGCTATTATATGCCTTGGTGATCTGTTCTGCATCTAAACCTAAAGGCTGATGAGAGGCAGTGTGATTTCAGGAGGAGTAAAGGGGAGATGCTTTTGCTGCTGTCATTGCAGGGTACTCACTGGCTACTTAAAGGTCACTGTCCCTACAATTCTGAATGATGTGAGTTAGGGATATTTAAACACTTGTCTGAGCTAGGTCCCAGTAGCACTGTTTATAATAGCAAACCTCTGGAAACAACCTAAATGTCTTTTCTAAAGGCAGATTAGATAAATTAGGCTAAGGTAGAATCACATGTTTTGGCATAGGTTAGGATGTAAGTTCAAAAGTAATATTAAAATTACACGAGAATGTTTCATACTTTGTTCTTACTTTGCCAAGATCTAGGACTCTGGAAACTCAAAAGCCAAAATGAACTTCTGTGATTTCCCTACTTTGAATTTCAGCCACCCATTCCCATGGACAGAGGCCACTTATAGTTTAATTAAGAGAGACGGGCTTATGTGTTCAGGTGGTTAAAAAAAAAACAACACAAACGAATAAAATAATAAAGAATATTTTATTTGCCCCCTCCCACCCCATTTCTCTTTTCCCATACACACGTACCACTAACATGTAGTTTACTTTTGATGTTAAATAGACATAAGATTTACCTCCAATCTATATTCTTAGAGTAAAATGATATGTAGTCAATTAAAAATGATATATGTTAGTTAACTGTATCCCCTCAAAAGAAACAGGGCATAGAACAGTGTGCACAGCTAATATATATGCAAATATCAATATATGTTAGGAACTGAATGTTTGCATTCCCCCCTCCCCAAATACATATGTTCAAGCCCTAACCCACAACAGTGTGATGGTATTTGTAGATGGGGCTTTTAGGAGGTAATTTGGTTTAGGTGAGGTCATGAGGACGAGATCCCCATGATAGGATCAGTGTCCCTACAAGAAGAAGAAGAGAGACCAGCGTTTTCTCTGTCATCAGTATGTGTGGACACAGCCAGAGGGCGGCCATCTGCAAACCAGGAAGAGGGCCTTTAGCAGGAGCTAAACCAGCTGGCACCTTGACCTTGAATTTCCTAGCCCCCAGAACTGTGAGGAGTAAACGTCTGTTGTTTAAGTTACCCAGTCTATGGTATTTTGTTACACGAATATTTCTAGAAAGATAAGAAAGAAACTAGGAATACTGGTTGTGTCCCACATGACGAGACTAGGTCTAGAAGACCTGAAATCAGGAATCGGAGGACGATCTACTTTTAGACTAAATAGAGCCTCCTTATTTACACTGAAAACCTTGATTTGAACATGCAATATATGTGTATAGAATGCTTTTAATAATAAAAGCCACTATTATTTTTTAAATGTCTGTCTCATAGGTTCTACCAAAACATAACAAAGCAACACTTACAAAACCCCTGAAGTTCACTGATCTCAATCCATTTTGAGTTTTTAAGAAATTTGTAACCCAACTTTTAAGATTCCCTTAAAATGTTTACTAGTCCGGTTTCACACCCTGCCCTATGGGGATGTGAACAGACCTCCTTGAGAGCACTGGGTGAGAACGAGAGTCCAGTGCTCATTCACTAGGTGATATCTTAATGTGCTACAAAATAAAGTGAGACTTACCAGTAAAACCTGTTTGGTATGACCCCTTCCTGGATAAGCTGCCACCTTCTCCCAAATTCAGCAGAGCTGTATAACTGTAAAGAAGAGAAACTACTCAGCACCGTGGTTCTGAGGTACATCAAAAACACAAACATCAGTTCATTGGATCAATAATAAATATAACCATAGCAATAACTATCATTTATCGAGTCCCTGCCATATGCCAAGTGAGTGTTTCACATGCATCATCTTCTGTTTCCCATCTGAAGTCCGCAAGGCATATACTAATATCCTCATTTTACAACTTAGGAAACTGAAGCTCAGAAGGATTAACTGACTCTTTCGAAATTGCATGCCAGGTAAGCAGTAGAATGAAATGGAACTCATACCCCTTTCCACCTGGTGACAAATTCAGCTATGCCACTTGGCCTAGCATGTGCAGAGCATCGTGGGGAATGTGAAGAAGTGCAAAGGTTAGACCTGGTCTGGAAGAGCAACAATATATAACCTGAACCTAATCACAATAATGAGAGATGCATGAGGCAGCCAGTGATAGTGTATTGGGGAAGATCAGGAGTCAATCAGGGCTGCTTCAAGACATTGTGGAGAATCATCTGGGACCTGAAGGAATGACAGCAACCAAATTGACAAAAGTGGCATTACTCACCAAGGGAACAGCATGAGTCAAAGTGGTGAGACAGAGAGGGATACAGTATGAATAAGCCTGGCTTATTTAAATAAGTTTGGATGAATATGTCGAGGGCAATATGAAAAGGACATTCAATGGCAAATTAAGGAGACACAAATTGATTCTACGGGCAATAAGGAACCACTGATGGTCTTTATAACATCAACCAGAGGAACCTCGGGCTAAAAAACAGCAGTACGTTGACTGAGCTCTTCCTATGATCCAAGAGCTTCATGTGCAGTATCTTATTTAATCCACATACCATCCCCGTGATACATGAAGTCATTATGGCCATTTTACAGATGGGTACGCAGCTAGTAGGATGTAAAATGCATTTACTATACCACTTCAGTACCCTCCAAGGGCAATTTCATAGAATCACAGCTCATGAGATAAGGACTGACCCTCCACATACTCCATCCCCCAAGTGTCTACTTTTATATACTGTTCTTCATGGAAGCTCCTTGTTATCCTAGGTGCTCTCTTGTAATCTTTATGTCAGTATGGGACCCTTTTCTGCCTTAAGAAGCATCCTTTGCTGGCAGCCCAGAGAATTCTATTGCTGTAGGCAGTCTGGTTCCCATGGGCATTGAGCTACTGATTTGAGAAACCATCACTTGAAACATCTCCTTTCTGCTATGTGCCTGCTTTATAACCCACCTGCACCTCACTCCCTCACCATCACATTTGTCACCTCCCACGGTGAAAGGATGTTGAGTCATACTGCACTGAGTACCATGACTGCCCAGCCTTTTCCTCTGTCCCCAGCCCCAACACTCAGCGAAGGGTCAATGATTCACTAAGTGACTCACGATGGCAGCAGATGGCACCAGGCATGTCCACATCCAAGGAAAAACTCAACTCAAGTGATTAATTACTGACCCTTGAAAGAACTCGCTACAACATTATGTCCATTGGATCAAAACACAGCCTGAAACCAAAAGCAGCTAAAATATCTGGCTACGAAAGCAAGAAGCTCGATTAGCTCCAATTACGCAGTATTTGAGCGAAGAGCCAAGAAAATTCCATGGCTTTTTCTTTCTAAGTCCTTCTTATTATTCTTTCTTTGCCTATCCTGCCCAAGGGAGAAAGGTTTCCTGGGAACATTTCATGTTTGATATTCTTTATGAGTGCCAAGGAAGGCAGAGTGGGAGCTCCCCACCTAGAGCTAACAAGGGATAGGACAACACATGCTTTCCTTACTCAGAACACAAGGAGCCAGCATATGTACGCCTGCTTCTTGTTTCCCAGCATGCCCTGAACACCTTGCATTATAACACACATGCTTGTGCAAAAATAGCAAGCCCTCAAACTGAGAGTTTCTGCTTCTCTTTCCCTCCTCATCCTCTTTTTCTTTTCTTTTCTTTTTTTTTTTTTTTTTTAACACAGAGCTGTACTTATTTCTATGAGTTTAAAGGGAACCAAGTTCATACCATTGTGGTGTGCTTACATCTATATATAAATGTATGATGATATCTATATTTATATACAAAGATTAATGCAAATGTAATAGAATCAGGATAATTCAAAATAATAATAATTCTGTGTATGAAGACTGGGCTCACATATCTCCTGCAAGAATAATATATAAGCTCTAAGTGTTTATACAGCTACACCAAGGGATTGCTATCTCTGCTTACAGGGAAGAATTGTTGGGTGCCAGCATCTGAAGTCCATTTTTTCCCCTATATTTTAAAATTTATCCCTGAGGCTTGGATTCGGAGCATGTGGATCAGTCAGGTATGTCTCATGACATTTGTTTATATCTTCAAAGGGCAACTTCGTTATTTGTGAGCATCTAGAGGCCCCTCAAGCAGTGGGTAAACAAAGCAATCCAATAAACCAAGACTCTCTTATTCAGCTCAGTGAGATCTTTTTCAATTTCATCTCTCCAAAGGTACCTTTTGGTCTTGGCGGGCTCATCTTCCCACACACACCTGGCACGTTCCCCCCTGCTGGGCCTTCACTGATGCTACCCACTCCGGCAGAAGGGGCTTGAAGACTTGCCTTCCTCAATGCCAGTGTTGTTTTTAGAGTCAGATCAAAGGCCATGTTCTTCTACGAAACTTGTTCTACCCACTAAGATTCCCACTGGTCTTATCTCCAAAAAACTATGGTATAACAACAGATGCTATCAAACTGCTGGCCACATATTTATATTTAACTTTCTTAGTAGCCTTTCAAAAGAGCCTTCTAAGAATGCAAGGCAAACATTTCTTCCTATCTAAAATGCCTCTAAAATATCTGAGACCACTCTGTGCCTCTTCACAAGATTACAAAGCTTTTAGATGTCAAGAATCCCATTTTATACATCTACAGGTGCCTAGAGGAGCACCCGTACATCTATAATAGCATACTAGACGAGAAAGGGAAAAAATACTGAGTTTGGACCATGCAAATCCCCTGGACATGAATCTACCTAGTAAAGAACCCAGTTTTCCCAACTGATGGACAAATAAAATTTATCAGAGGGATATGTTTCACTTCCATGGATTCACTGCTAGAGGGCTGCACCAAAGAGACACACACACACACACACACACACACACACACACACACACACGCACGCACACACACACCCCTCTATATATCAGTACATTTGAAACACCCAAGGATTTGCAAGAAGGGCTTTAGGGAAAGCCCTTAAACAAAGCCCTTCACCCTTAAACAAAGCTGCTCTGTATACTCCACCTACTACTTCAAACATTTTCTCCCTAAGAATTAATTGTCCAGCCTGGTGCTGTACCAAAAAAAGGAGAAAACAACAACTCTCAGCCATTCAAGTTAATGTGTTAATTAAACCTACAGAGTCTGACAGCAAAGTTCTCCTCCACAAAGAAGGGGATGGTTATCAAAGCATTTTATCCAATGATGGTCTCAGCTGCCAGTGGAAGGCTTCTTGTGTAGAACAAGTCAATGCCTTTTAATATAATGCATAGTGTTGTTAGCACCTAAGTGAGATTTATTTCCTTCTCTGTCTCTGGCTCCAAGGTTTCTTGTGACTGTCAGAACACAGAACTGAGGACTATCATTACTATCTGTCATATCAGAGAGAGCAGCAGCAGCTCTCCCCAGCAATGCTGAGCCTAGAAAAAGGGAGAGGAAGATTAGGGAGAGGATGAAAGAGCATTTGAACTAGTTTTAGGATGGCAATGTTCATCTACTGACTCCCTGTCAGTCACTTTAAAATGCCACTCTTAGAGGGTGTTTGTTTTTATTTTGCTAACACTAGTACAACATATTGAAAAAAAAAATTAACGGTGCATAAATTTTAGAAAGAGAACACAGAGAAATTCTGGTTAAATAAGAATGCAAGGAAGAAAATCCTTCCATCTAAAATCATTCTGAAATAGCTGAGACGACTTCCCCGGATTAGTAACAATGACTTAATGAGCACAAACCCAACACTCCTCTATGCTCAAGATCTAATAGCAGCCTGTGGGCCCAACCAATGCTGGTCTGGGGCCCTTAACATTTCTGTCTTTTCCCCGCCACTCTCCTTTGCTGAATTTTTTTTAAAAGACATTTCTCACGTTGGCTTGTTTTCTTGCCATCTGCCTTTATCTGCTTTAAGAAGAGTGTAGATAAAAATACACTTAATTGCAAAAGATGCAATTGCAAGGGTTAGTTTCATTGGGAGCCTTAAAACAAGAGTTAGGTGTCTCTGGCGCCATCCTCTGGAGGTTTGCAGAGCTGCATGTTGGAGGATGGGCCCCAGCTACAAGGAGCAACAGAAGGGTGCCATGGCAGGACAGGGCAGTTTAGGTGTGGGAAAGAGTGAGATGCATTGGCTTTGCTTGGGATTCCTAATCTACAGCAGATTAGGATGGGGTGAGAGAGAGGGGTGGAGGATGAGGGCAGCAGTTTCCAACTTTCATTTTCCACCTAGTTAACATTCACATTTTGGTTTAATCCCTGGAAGAGTGACATCTTTCTACTAGGAAATGAGAAACTCAACTTCCTTATATTGATGAAAAGTTTGCAATCCTCATTGTCCCTTGAAAGTCTTTTCAATATTCTTAAATCAGATCAACGTATCTTCTCTTTTCAGACTGTCGGGCAGGTGCACATTAAACACTTTCTTTTGCAGCTGGGAAATTAGTGGAAGAACAATTCCACAGAAATTGGTGCAAAATAATTCCACAGAAGCTAAGAGTTGTGATAACATGTTTTAAGTCTTTGGCTGATGGGATCAAATGCTGTTCACCACAAAGTTTCTCAAAACAACTTCGCCAGTCGGGGGGCAGTTTCCTGGGTCTCTTGCACACAGGCTCCTGGAGAGGCTCTGCATTGGCGGAACACATCCTGCTGTTGGTTCTTTTCAAGGTTGCCTGCCCACCCCTCTTTCTTTCTCTGCCCTTGCCATTCCAGAGGCAGGGGGCCTGCAAACTGCACATCTTGAAAAGG